GACTTATCTGATCACCAACCATGCCCTGCACCTGGTCCCTGATATCTTGACGGGTCCGCAACACCTTCATTCACACTCGCTTACACTTGCCGCAATGCAAGTACCTCCTTCAGCAGCACTCCTGATGACACTCTATGCTCCTTTGAAACGTACGGGGAGCTAAGGGTCAAGCGATGGTCTAGTTAAATCTATACGAGGGCGAGAGGGGATGGTCACCAACGAGACCCCACCCCATGCAATTAACATGCCCCGGACAAACATCGAATGCCATCTGGGGGAATACGAACAGCAGAAAGGTGTGACCTGCTCACGCAAAGGATTTCCCCGCAGGCGTGGAAGCTGAGGCTGAGGAGAGTGACGGTTTATGGGAACAAGCGAAGGCGTTCTCGGTCGGGTAACATCAAGGGAGAGTCTGAAGGGGAACCAACAGCCAACTCGAGGAAACCAACCATTGCTCCATCACCCCTGTCTGCCATATGCGGTCGGTCCGGTCCACTGGCGTCCAGATCCCCATCTCTCTTGGACCATGTTGCATAGCCTCTCCTCTGAGCCGAGCAAGGTTTCGGAACCCGACGCAAAACCTCCCGATTTTGGTCAACCATCACGTCTGCGATGCTACCTCTTGTCTGTCACTGTCCTTCTCTTATGGTCCTTCACGCAAACGCCTTGCCCAAAAGAGCCTCCCGGATTGGAAAACGCCGATCATAAAAGCATCAATGGCGCCAGGTGATTGGGTGAAACCTCGAGATCCGGAGCGGGACTGCCGTGGTGTTTCGACGCACATGGAGCGGGAAGTGGTTGGAACAAGGTTTGGACACCCCTGTAAAACGGTAAACAGTCACGCCGAGGCGTTGCATGTTAATGGGATGCTAGGGAAAACTGCGGTTCTGCGCAGCACAGCATTGGACTGGGCTCCAAATTGGATGAGATGAGGGACGCCGACGGCATATACATACGAGATGGCACCTTGTCCCCATTGGCGAATCCTTCACGACACTAAGCTCTGCACAGCCAGCCATCCTCTCAATATACCGGCCCAACGTAAACACCACCAGCTGCTGTGTTGTTCTTGACAACGGCCCACCGTCTGCTTTCTCTTCTTGTAATTCGTCCTCATTCCTCTACCTCACCCTTTCTGCTTGCGCCCTGCTTGCCTTTACAGCTTGCCACCTTGCGGCCTGCGTCACATATCGAAAAGCCAACAAACCGTGGCTGTATGTTGCTTTAGCCAGTGGTGCAACCTCGCGCATGTATAAGGGCACTGCGGCATAATACAATCACGAAGGCGAGCTTTCGATACCCCCGGACACGCCGAACGCTGTGATAGTCATATCATCAATCACACCTCAATCTTGGATCTTGCGATTGTCGTCGGGAAGTATCGCGGAGATCATAAAGTCCCGCGCCTTCACTACAACTCCATCTTCCCAACAACACTTCCAAGGGCGCCCGGTTGATCGGACCCGCCCACAAGATCTCGGCCCGCTTACCTTGGCCATTTACAGCCGCCCGTGCATCAAGTCACACGATGAAGTCGACTACCTTTCTCACCACCATCGCTATGGCACATATGGCGCTATGCGTGCCGGTACCGTGGATGGCCGGTGATAATATCCTGCTTTCACCGAACAGGAATGTGCCGAGCAGCGCAGCTTCCGGTCGAGATCCAAAGTCCGATAAAGCCTTTGTTCTTGCTACCTCTCACCTTGCTCCCGGTCCGATCCTCCAAAAGGCTGAACGTTCATTCAACTCCTTATGGGATAATTGGAAGAAGAAGCATGGCTCAGGACCGGCACTGATTGTCGATAACGCGAGGAAGGATATCCCGGTGTTGGTCATCACGGAATTGGGGGAGCTGGGAGTCGGGATACCTTCATCATCGCAGCCACCCTCAAAACAAGCGTCCAACCCCAAGCAGAAACCAGTATCGGTATCGTCTGGCAACGAGAAGGCAAATAATGTTTCGGTTACGGAAATGGGGGAGTTGAGCATCGGGATACCTTCGCCAGTGCCGTCGCCACCTTCGCCCTCGTCGTCGTCGTCGTCCTCTTCGTTGTCGTCATCGCCTCAACCGTCCAATGGCACATCACCGTGCCCCTTTTATGTCGAAAAACCCCGCGATCATGATGATGTGCTGGTCATATTCCTGGTGTCGGCCTTCCTACTCGTTGTCGTCGTGGTCGAAACTTGGGGTCCTGTTTGTCGAAGGTTAGTTGTTCTCGCCACATCTCCCGGGTTACGTCAACCCTCCATCTTTTCCCGTCCCATCTGCATCGTCGACAGAGGCCCCGCTGACTCGTCGGTATGATAGTGTAAGAAACATGTTCTCATCGAAACGGAAGGGCGCCATTCAGTTGGCCGAGGAGACAGAGACGAAACCCAAGTCGTTTCGGGATAATTCGGTCCTGGTCAAGTCGGAGAGCGGTTGAGGTCGGGGATATTTGGAATGGAAAGAGCTAAAAAACTGAATGAGGGCATGTCGTCCAGGTGGAACCTCGGATGGAATCGTGGAGTGGGGCGAATGAAGGTGCATGCATATCTGGGCGTTTTGGATCGTAGGAAATGGGCGGCATATCGGACAGCTTTTTCTTTGACTTTGAATCTTATATCATCGGTTTGGGATGCATGCCGTTTCTTGTGTCGGATACTCGGGGGTTGAATCCTTCGCTCGGGCCGGATAACTCTTGTCGTTGTCGACTGACTGTACACATGGACGTCTCTGATGCGCCAATTGTATCTCCGTGGATTGGATGCTCGTTGTCGATGGACTGTGGTGGCGACTGATCGACATGCTCTCGCTTTTCCATGTTGGCGTTTTCTCCACCGATTCCCATTGCTACCCGCATTTCGTGTCGACGAGAGAAAAGGAAAGTGCAGAAAGATGGCATCCGACAGATAGTATTATACTCGGCGCAAACCAAAAGGATTTTCGCAATCCGGAACCTTCGGCTTTCTCCTCGGGCAGCATATGATATCCGATCCGGTCGTCGCGGATGATGTCTTGGCATTCGACCAAATGGTCTTGGCAGCGTCGTCAGCAGCATTCACCAGACGGGAACCGCAAATACATTACAGCAGACGTTCTGGTGGTTCCCGCGCTGAATGGAGTCAACAAACCAAACTGAATTGCCAAGTCAGCAGCGATAAATGAGTGACACGCAACAGAGGACCAAGACTTCTCAAGTACACCATAACCAAACGGCACCTATCACTCGATGCCACATAAAAACATTCTCTGTTCGCAGTTGGCATACGACATATAAACCTGTTTGATAATCCCGGTTTCGTCCTCGAGCCTCCGTTGAAGGCTTAGACTGCTCACAGCCTTGTTATACCTTTGTTCAATTTGGGAATTTACACAAACACAACCTCAATAATCCCATGACATGCTTTATAATGTTCCGGAAAGCAGCCTTCCCAGCACCATCCCAGATCTCACATGATGGCTTTTGGTTGTAATGGAGGTGACCTCTTGCCGGAGTGCGGGAAAGCCAAGACCCAACGTGATGGTCCATCCAGCCTTCGCTAGTCTTCGCGGCCGCTTTTGCAACACGCCATTGGTCAAAGACCGCGGAGAAAGGGAAAGCTGAATACCGACAGGGCTGCTGCCAACACACCATCCGTCAGACTGGTAGAGCATGTGTGGCAGAAGCACCGGAGCACCCTTGACTGCCACCCTCTGTCACCCTCCAGCGTGGTGTTTCAAGACACGCCCACACATCCAAGACACACGGGCTTCTCTGCAAAGGGATCCTAACGGGCCGCAACGCTGGTGTCTTAACCTGTTCCTGCTGGTATCCTCCCGTCTTTTCCTGCGTCTTGCCGCCAGCTGGCGTGGTCGCCTTGTCTACAAGAAGATGAAGATGAGGATAGTATGATGGAAAAAAGAAAGGCCAACGGAGCAAATGGCCGACATGTGCTAGCCAACAACAGTGCCAGTAAGCGCCATCATCCAGCCAACCACCCAGGCAGTGACATTCCTCTCTGATACGCGGTGCATATTCAGCCCGTCCACACACACTTCATCTGATCCATCTTAGCACGCACGCTCCGGAGCCGTGTTAGTGGCTCCATATACCCTGCATGGCCTGCTGCATGCCAACCCCGCCCTCCTGCGTCTTGCCCCCTCGGTACCGGCGCATCTTTTCTCAGCCTCTTCTGTTCTTTGGTGCTGTTTTTAAAGATCCCGTTGTCCATGTTCTGCACGTCTCGTTAGCTTCTCCAAGTCGGACTACTCTTTGGCGCTTCTTTCTTAAGCTTGCGCAGGAACCGACAAGTTTTGCCGTGTTGGTGTGCGACTTGATCCTGGACCATTTTGCGCCTTTGTTTACAAGAGAATAGGAGATCGCGAAAGCCAAGAAGTGACCCCTCACTTTCACCAGCCCCCAGATTTCTGATCCCTGAAACTCCCAAGACGAGTCGCGCAAAATTCGATATCAGCCCTACACCACCTTGCTACTTGGACCAGATTCCAGCTGCATAAACCGAGTCTGTCAGTCATCGACCAAACCAACCCGAAATCAGGTTCCCACACTCGAGTTAGCAACAGACTTTTGACGGCCAGCATCAAAGCATGTCCCTACAAGTGGACGAACGGAGCCGAGGCGGGCGGTCCCGCTCCCCCGCAGATCGCCGCCGGGAGGACGAGGACCGCCGGCCGCGGAGCCACGTCCGCACGTCCTCGGCAAACATTGTCGAAGCCGGTGTGTACCCGCCAGCCAACGACAACTATCGCGACGTTGACCCTGCCCTTGCGTATGAACAGCTCGCCAACTACCCGCCTTCCGCTGGTAATCGCGGCGGCGATTACTACCACAGCAGCTATCATGCGTCAGCGCCATCGCTAGGCAGGCCGCGTGAGCGGTCGCCCTCGCGTGAACGGGTGAGAGATCAGTCGCGCCTTCGCGCACAGAGCCGTGACAGGAGACCGGATCCCAGAGAGTCTTCGGATTGGGGAAAGAACATCAACAGGGAGCGCCCGGGTGAGTTTGCCGGCATGTATCTTCCGCCCAAATATGCCACCACCGTTGTTTCGGCCGACTCGACAGGATCACCACATGGGTCACGCGACTCGTTCCATGGTCATGGCCGCGCGCCCAGCACCTCGGGCAGGGACAGAGATTCCAGCAGGGAGCGTCAGCAACGCAAAAAGGACAGACTTGAGGACGATCTTGCCTACGGGAAGCGTCCAGAGACGCCGCCATCACCGGGTTACCACCGTCCTCGTCCGTCTAGCTACCATGCGGGTGTTGGAAGACCCGACGACAAGTACGGCGAGCCCATCGGCCGTCACAGCGGCCGCACCCACAGCCCGAACATCAGCATCAGCAGCGCCTACGATCTGCGCTCCGACGACCGCAAAGGAGGCCGTATCGATGCTCCCAGCGTCGTCACCATTGAGCCTCCTCACGTCAGCGGCAGCGGCTACCCTTCCTCACCCGGTCGAGGCCGCCACGAAGACGACGGCAAACTCCCCCTCAAGTCCGCCATGCGTCCCGGCCGCGAAAAGTCTCCGCTCCCGCCTACCAACCGCATGTCCCTCCTCTCTGTCAACGGACACAACCCTCACATGTCCAACGGCAACCTCTCTGTCGCCAACGCGCCCGCTTCCCCAATGCTCGAATCCTATCACGGCACCTACCAATCCATGTCCCCGATGCCCTCCCCCTTGATGCTCCCCACCCAACCCGGTCCCAACGGTTCCTCGTACAGCTTCGTCGAGCCTTTATCTCCCCTCTACGGCTCCTCTTCGTCGGACGACGAGTATCACCGCAAGGGAGGCGGCAGCGGCGGTGGTGAAAAGAAAGGTCACGCCCGCACCCACTCCCGTCGCGCCCGCTTCCACGACCCCATCGACGACGCCGCCCGCCTCGCCAATGCCCTCAAGGGCGAAAGCCGCGCGCCCGACACGCCCGTCCTCATTGAGATCTTACCGGGCCTCACGCACGAGCAGGTCATGGACCTGCGGGGTGAGTACAAGCGGCTGGTGAAAACCGGCGCCGAGCGCAGGGGTGTCAATATCGCCAAGCACATCCGCGCGCGGCTCAAGGACGAGGATCCGACGCTCATGAAGGCGTGCTATACGGTGGCGCTGGGCCGGTGGGAGTCGGAAGCGTATTGGGCGAATTTCTGGTACCACGGGGATAAGACGCGGAGGGAGTTGTTGATTGAGAGTCTGATGGGCAGGACGAATGAGGAAATCTGCAAAATCAAGGCAGGGTTTTCAGACAAAAAGTACGGGGATAGTCTTGTGAAATGCATGAAGATGGAGTTGAAGGAGGATAAGTTCAAGAAGGCGGTGTTGATGGTTTTGGAGGAGAAGAGGCAGGAGGATGTGGATCGGTTTGGACACCCCGTGAGACTGGATCTCGAGCTGGTGGCGGATGATGTGAGGACGTTGAGGGAAGCGATTAAGTCCGAGAGGGGGGGCGAGTCGGCCATGCTGGCGATTGTGGTGATGAGGAGTGAGACGCACTTGAAGGAGGTGATGAGGGTTTATAAGGAGACGTACAAGGGGGCGAATTTTGCTAGGGATGCGTTGAAGAAGAGTGGGAATCTTGTCGTACGTACTCATTCCCTTCCTCTTCCTCCCTTTTTTTTTTTTTTTTTTTTTTTTTTTTTTTTTTCCTCCGAAATGCTAACGGAGACGAAAAACAAAACAGGGAGAAGTCCTAGCCCACATCCTCAACGGCGTCATCAACAAGCCCGTTCGCGACGCCATGCTGCTCAACCACGCCCTAACCCTGTCCAAGCGGGACGAGCTGCGGCGCGAGCTGTTGATTTCGAGATTGGTCCGCTTCCACTGGGATGCTGGCCACATGTCCCGCGTCAAGAAGGCCTATCACGAACACTACGGTCAGGATCTCCAGGAGGCCGTCAAGGAGGCTACCAGCGGCGAGTGGGGAGAGTTTTGCGGGCAGCTGTGCGTCAGCAGGATGCCGGATGATGTCAAGAAGATTGAAAGGAGGCCGACGGACGATTTCTAGGAAAATAACGCCGCGGTTCTTTTTATGACAACGTCTGAGGTGGGAGGGGAGGATGATGCTCGAGATGGGTTTGGTGAACCCACTGAGCGGTGGGGATGGAAGAAACGGTACATGGCATATGAATGAAGGGATGGATGGTTGATGACTGGGAAGGGATATCATGAGTGTTATGGCTTTGGATGAAATGTGAATGATGGAACTGATGATTAGATTACGATGGATATACCAATTCTCCCATACGCATACTCTGTTTTCTCTTTATACAGATTGGATTGTCATGAAATCTTTGCCCTCTGGCGGGCTCCTTCTTATCTTGTTTAGGTTGGTTCATTCACACAACGTGAAGCGGGAAGAAATACCCTGAAGGGACTGGCTGCAATTAACCTAAGTCTCTCATGCTCCTTTCGCCGTTATACACATACAGAAAGACTCTTCGACAACAGACTAACAGAAGGGTTTCAGCTTCGTCTTCATGTCACCAAAATGTGAGACAACATACCATTATCACAGTCACTGCCTAATAAATGCTCCCACACCCAGCAACTGTCTCTTATATCACAAACATCTACTCGCATATACAGTTGAAACTATTTTCCCGAGACATAGATCATTTGAGCGAGACCTCACTAATCTTCTTGGGAACTAGAACTATCTTCTCAACCCCTCTCGAACTTGAAAGTTCATGTTGCTCTATGATGAAACCGTAAGTTCTTAAGACAAGTAGAGGTAGTGGATCTCGCCTAGAGCGCAAGAAGTGCCCTAGAACACATCAGTCAACATGCCACCTGCTAACATCCCAGATATCCCTAGAGGTTTTCGAGTAGCTGGCCTCCCTCCAACTTGAACCCTGCCGACATCCCACGCCGTAGCCGCTACGAGTTTCAACAAGCTTTCCTCACTATACCTAGGTGAACCACTCCTTTGTTCGAACATTGAAGAAAAATGAAAGTACCCCCAAACACTGTATACATTTCCCACCTCTTTCCCTCTGTCCAATCCCAAACAGTTCATGTATACCTACCTACCTTGGCTTCCTCTACCTAGTAATCTCCAGCCAGGACAGCTTACACCTCATCAATGGCAGTCAACCGAGGTCTCCACGGCGTCACGATAGGCTTAATCCCAAAGGGGTAAATCCTCTTTCACCTACCTACCTTGTTCTTGCGGCGCCTGGCGTGTGTGGCGTATGGGGCGTAAGGGCGTGTCTTCCTCTAGACTAAAGGTAGTGTACCTCGATCGATCGAGTGAGTGAGTAAGTGAGGCCCGGAACTTTTCCCGCGGCGAGATCGCGCACGCAGGGCCACACAGGCGGTATGTGTCACCATTCATGCATGCTCTCGAGCCGCGCTACCAACATGATTCGATCACTTAAGTTCACAGACAGCACGGATTCTGCGTCACTTGACATCTGGTGGCTTGACAGCGCTTGACGGCCCTTGATACATGGCGGAATGTGAAACCCGAATGACCCAGGAAGAACCCGAGAAAGACACGGGTTTCGGTAAGGAAGGGCGGATAAAGTAAAGTGGGTGGGTAGGTATCTCTTAGGTTGGGCGATACACTAGCTTGAGAGGTATTTACACTATGTGTACCTAGGTGAGGAACAATAGATCAGGCAGGCACGTAGGTAGGGTAGCGGGAAGCGGGAAGTATGTAGCCGGGAAGGAGTTGCGGTAACTTCCACTTCGAAAAGACGGACCAGCCAGGGACAGGTTTTTCACTTTCACTTCCACTTCCAACGGAACGGACAAAGGCGCGAGACAGAACTGAAGCGGTTGTGGTACACTATGTACTGTGAGAGGGAGACATTCAAGAAAAGGGGTCAGATAACCTCAAGGGAAAGGTGAAGGAATGGATGTCTTACCGCTTTACCGGCAAGTAAGTTCGGTACGTAGAGGTAGCCAGGATAGAGGTCCAAAAGGAGGAAGGTTCACGAAAAGGTCTGGTGGCTTGGACGGATAGATAGCGAGGGTTTTGAGACAAAGAACTTTTGGAGGCACGTAGTGATGTGGCTTGCACAATACTGAGCTATCATCAATGATAACGAGGAAAAGAATTGCAAATTATCTCAGTCTGGCTTCATGGGCTTTTCCTAGTTTCTACCTAGTTGACTGTTGAAGTGCATCTTTCGCCGTGTTTTATACTACCATACACTGTTCCTGCGCTTCTTCGGCCCGTCTTTGGGCATTCTTCTTTACGTTCACAAAGTGCCAAGGGGGAATAAAGATCTCATTCGTGTGGTGACGGGAAGCTTCTATCCCTACAAGATGGAGTATCTATCTGTAAGTGACTAATGCTGTCAACAGGCTGTGGACGTGGCTGGACCACAAGTTGTGGCGGGTGTACGCGGTTGGGTGATCGTGACAGCCTTTGTTTGGTCAATTTACGCTGAACCACTTCAACAGTTGTTAGTATTGGAATTTTCCCCTGATTCCTTATGTCGCTCATCGCTGTTTAACGATCAAGGCGCTGTTCAGCCCCGAGTCATTGTTTGAGGAGGAGGAGGAGGAGGAGGTTGGGCGTTAACGGCATTTGGGACGGGAACGGCACCCTTATTCAACCCTAACCCGCCTTCAACTTTTGCTGTGTACAACCCGACTCCAAGTCCCGAAGTCGGCAACCGTCAAAAGTGAACCACCCATTCACAATTTTTTTTCCCCTTCCAACTGCACAAGGTTTATCCTTTGTAAATAGCGTTTGCATAAGTCCACGCCCACGTTACATCAAGTCGGGCCTCGCGAACAACCCGTGCGGCCGACCGACGACCGTTCTCTGAGCTCTCTGCTATCCCCGACTCCGATCTCCGATCCCCGATTTCGATGTGACGGTACCGCCAAGTACCCTTCTCCAAAACTCAGGTACCTCTAGGTACACACTTATAGACACTGTTCTTGGCCGATGGTTCTCGTCCAATCTCCTGCTTTCATCCAACGTGGTTGAGCTTTTTCATCCGAATAGGGTAAAGTTCATTCAATGAGGCACATTGGTGCTGCGGGCGGTTTTTCGCTTGTACACAGTATGATCAACGGGGGAAGAGACGCTGGCATCATGATGAATCATGGATAGGTGAAACTGAGAACTGCATCTGATAGGTAGTGATGTGCAACAGGGGTTACTCTGTTGGAAAGATGGGTTGGCAAGAAGATTGACGGTGATTGGATTTTTTTCTTGTATCTTCGTGAATTGACTTGAAGAGGAAATTTCGACTGCTGATGTCGCCAACTCTATATTCATGACTGCATATGCATTGATCCTGCGTAGTGTAAGACGGGGCGACGGGTTGGATCAATTTCTCCTGTTCCTTCTGGAAAGACGGAAAACGCAACGACAGCATGTCATGTGTAGGTAGGTAGGCGATGCAAAGCACACAAGTTCTCTGCCTTGCCGTGTTGGCCCAAGGCTATGAAACGTCAAGCGACAGCCTGACAAGACGATAATATCTTTGACTACTCGGCATCGTATTCCGAAGCTTGCGAGATGATTTCCTTATTACATACCTCATCTCCGTACATGGCGGCACAGCTATAAGGCTAGGGCCAGTTAGGTTCTGTTTCAGATTCCACTTTACCCCAGCGACCAGCCTCTGGAGCCGAGCCACAAGGCCACGTACTACGACAGCGCAACACCACACGCCAGAACACAGGTACACTACGCGTATTACGTACCCTCACCGGCGTGCCCTGAAGGACGTACTGCATAGTAAGCGGGGCGGAAACAAGAAGGGTAGTGGAAAGACAAGACAGGGCCAAGCACCAACTGCGCGGGGCCAGGCATGGAACTCATTCGGTTATTACACAGCCGAAGATGGGGCTGAGATGCCTGAAGCGAGCATGTGAAGGAGTGGTTGGAGTACGATAAGGGCCGAGAAGAGTCCAAGTCTCCAAGAAGTCCAAAAAGCCTTAAAGATGCGCACAGGTTTACTGGTATCAATGTTGGAAGGATCGTAACAAGTAATGACGAAAGGATGAAAGGAAAAAGTAATAATGTTGCATAGTACATCAGCAACAGCAGTCTGGACCGTCATCATGGACATGCGATCCAAACCTAAAAAGTCGCTGATCTGATAAGTGGGGGTCATACATCATGAGGATCGATGAAGCGTCCAAGGGAGAGCTGATCGGTCAGTGATCCCTCGGATATGAAGTCCAAACTGGTGGTCGCCGCCGTCACATCGGCCAAAAATGTCAGGAACCGGCACTGTTAACCGAACCATTACATACCGCATTTGCACAAACTGAGTGACATAAAAATCGAGCGGTCTGTTCCTGTGCAGGTGGACCGTCTGGCACAGCCACGGCAGTGTACTGAGCCATGTAGACGAGTTAATACCTGTAGAAGCTTAGTGCGGCAGAAGAACAATATAGTCGAGGGACAACGTGAAGTCATCACGAAGCACTAGAACAGCGGGCAAGTGGTTGAGACGGCGACGCAAGTACCGACGCATTGTATTACGGAAAACATACTGTGTTGCACCAGGATTCCCCATATGAATTTCTAGGCGGAGGAGCGATAGTGTTCTTCGGCCGAGGCTAGTGTGAGAAAGATTTCACACTACTCCTTGCTCGCGATCGTCAAGCTAGTGAGTGCGAGTTTTTTTTTTTTCTTTTTTTTCTTTTTTTCTTTTTTTTTTTTTTAGAAAAAAAAAAAAATCCTTTTCATCATCAGGTTGTTGGCAAACCAGGAAATTATGCGAAGCTGTGCTGTCACGAACGTACCTCGGTTCAATCCCGTTTTATTTCCTGGCCATGAAACAATGGAGGGGTTTCCTCCAAGATGTCGCAGTATGTAGTTTAGACATGGTCCCTGAAGCTAGGGCATTTATCGAGCAATATCATTCGACACGCCAAAGACTCGGTGAGATCCAAGCCCAGGAGCCGATGGATGAAATCTTTTGATGGCACAGGACCAACAGGACGACAAAATGATTGGTGAATGAGACACTACTATGTACATACTGTTGCGAAAAGAAGGGTTGGGGACGGGGTCCCATCCCAGCCAGGTCCCTGAGCCATATTATTCATTTGGACAAATTTTTATGCTCTCTTATCCCTCATCCCTCATTGTGTACCGGGTAGGAGTCATGCCGAGAATATTGTTCTTTTAACATTGGATTGTCTGGAACGCTGCTGACTGCCTGCCTGTCTGCCACAATACACTACATAAATTCGTTAACGGATTTTAGGTTCGCTGCAGTGATGACCGGTGTTATTTCCGATGCCCGTGCGGCAGTTCATCCCGCAATCGCAACTGAACCTAAAAACTCCACACACCCAAACCCCAACATGGATGCCCGCTCCCTCCAAGCAATCGC